CACCTAGTCTTCTCTTTTTATCCAATCCCTATTCCTCTTGATATTCTATTTGTTTTTAGACATCTTAGTGGATTTTTGCCTTCGTAATTTTTGCATTGAATTTCCCTGGGACACTTATGTGATATTAAAGGGCAAAGAGGGGCAGGGCTGGAAGAATAGAGAGAGGATAAAACTGAAGTAAGTTCTTTTGATTCTCACAAGTTAACTTTGGGGATTCCTCCTAGAAAACTTTCTATTTAGAAACTTTTTGCTTTGGGAATTCTACCAAAAAATTGCTGTGTTGCTTGAGCCAATTACTTATTTTCTCTGTTTCCTTACGTGTCATGGGAGGGGATTCATTATTTAATACACTTAACAAACTGTCTTCATTCATAGTTGATCAAAACATTTCTATTTATTTTAATTTGGGGAAGTTTCTTTCATGTGAAGCAACAACTATGCAAGTAATTAAGAAAAAAGCTTGGTAGAGATTTATAAAAATTCCCATTTCACAATAAGTTCCAGAAACTGCAGTATCCTTCTTGTCTTTATTCCCTCAGGACTGACTCTAGATACTTTCATATATTTTCATTTGGAGCTTTTATATGTGTTTAAAATTGTGTTTCTTTACGATCACTGTTACTGTTATTTTTAATATACTAGCAAGAGATGTTGGTGTTTTGTGCATTTGAATGATCTCTCCTTTCACTAGAAAATGTAGTGGGATACATACTTAGAGGAGTACATGCTATCATAGAGGCCAGAGACAGAGAGTAAAAACCATTCCAAACTTTTACAACCTTACTCAAGACAAAGGCACATAGCTGAGTTCATATGTATGGGACACTACTGTATAATTGAATGTTTCAAATTACCTTAAACAAAGAATACAATGTTTATTAAAAGATAGTAATAAAATGGGCTGATTTGAAGATTACATATATTTTATTAAAGCTCAACAATAACCACAGCAATTATTTAGAAGTTAGACCTATGAAAGACGTTTTTGTATTTCATCAGTGCCCCTCAGCCAAACATGACCAGGGACATACCTGTAGTTGAACAGTCTGGGCTTATTGTTATATCAGGGGGGAAGGTACAGCAAGGGGAACTGTGGCACATCTCAGACGGTGTTAAAAAGAACCTGTTTGGTCGCTTTGGTTGGGTAATTTGGGGGAGGATCTATGGAAGCAGGGTTCCCTCTGGACTGAATACTGAGAGAAAGTGGGGCATCTCCATGATTGCATATATCAATAAAGCTTGAGGGGTGAAGACTAAAAGCTAAAGCTGTAACTGATGAAGCAGCCAATCATATTAGCTAGGAGAGTGAGGTATATGGTATTTTTGTTGCACAGTAACCATGTCTGAAGTGGATGTTCTGCAAGATGTTTATGTCCAATAGGAGAGCAATATGCCTTAACTGTGTCAGATCTTTTGTGACACATTGAGCCTACTACATCAGATCTGTTCCTGGCAATTAGGGGCTGCTTTTTTTTTCTTCTTACTGTTATCATCTAGAATTGTCAGTACACTGAAGGGGTGCAGAACATGCCACCCCATAATATGCCATTTTGGAAAATTAAATATTTTGAGCAGAAGGCACGTAAGAAACAGCAGATGCAGGAAGGGCTCTCTAACCTTTTCCATTCTATCTAAAAGCAGATGATAAAATTTCCCTTGAGAAAGATGCCTTCCCTGTACCAGGAAGAGAAAAGCATTCTTATCACAGGAGACCCTTGGTCAGCACTCTGCATACCAAGATAAAATTTGGATGACTCAAAGATTTAAACATAAAATCACAAGTCCATAAAAAGTGATAGAGGAAAACATATGTTTTAAAAATATAATCTGTAACAGAGAAGATTTTCAACTTTCTAAATTTCAAAAGAAAAAACTAAGATAAGGAAAAGATTGATATGCATGCTCGGATGTAACAAATTTCAAAACATGTATATAAAAAATGGCCACAAAATTAAAGCAAACTTGGAAAATATTTGCAACCCAATGGCAGACACATGGTTGTGTTAAATTGGTAATAAAAAGATAATCCTATTAAAATGGGGAAAGGATGTGAATCAAAAGATAGTTCACAGAGAAATACAAATGTGAAATCTCAGAATTAAAGTAATTCAGAACAATGAGACCTTAGGTTTTTTGTTTTTATTTTAATTTTTTTGCTTTTTTTCCTACCAGGAAGTTTTATCACTCAATTAGACATTTAGGCATCTTTACTAATAAATATTTTTAGGACCAGGATGGCAATGTTTTCAGATTTTTCTTGCTTTAGCATTTATTATTGTCTTTTTAAAATCATATCGCTTCAATGCCTTGATTATTCTATCCATCTGAGTTAGATCATGTTCAAAATTGTATTTTGAGAAGTGTATCTACCTGCAATTGGATGCACTGTCTGCATAGGTAGGATAGCCAGCTTAGGTTTCCTTAAGTTTCTTTAAGAGCAGTGGCTTCCAATGTGTGGTTCCCAGACTCGCAGCAACAGGTTACCTGGTAATTTGTGAGGCCTGTAAATTTTCAGGCTCCTTCCTTTAAATCAGAAACTCTGGGGTTAGGTTATATTAACCTGTGTTTTAACTAGCCTCTAGGTAACTCTGATGCCAGGTTGAGAACTACTGCCTAAGAGGATCCTGATTCTGTCTTAAACTTGGCCAGTTATTTCATCGTGTGAATCTACACTTGAATGGCAACTTAGAATATTTGTACATGTTTGGGAGTATACCTTGAACTCACTCTTTATAGATATTGACAAATTGTTTTCCAAAGTCATTATGCCAGTTTGCTTAGTGTACTGATGAATAGCTGTTTCCCTGGGTCCTTAGTCAGCATTGATCCAAAGTTCAGCTAAAGAAAATAGGTGTAGAGAATTGTCTAAAGTACTTCATCCAAGACTTGATTCTCTGAATTCACCCTTGAATCTGAGTTAGAATGGTGGCTTCCAGAAGCTGATCTGCTGAGCCAGAGGCTGCCAGACAAGTGAGCACGGACGGGAAATGGAAGGATTAGGGCTTTGCTTTCCCTTTCAGTTAGAACTGTTCGGCCTGAAGTTTTAAGTGTTGGGATTCCACACGAAATTTCATTTTTAGCAAAGAAGTCTGGTGTTAAAGGAGGTTTGAAAATTATGGGCTTAGTAGTCACAGATCAGAGTACCTGGACTACAAAGTTTTGGCCCTCCATATGTTTACCTTCTTTCAACATCAAATTCATCAATATTGAGAGGCATTATTTAGAAAGACAGAACAGCTTGTAGGAAAACATTGTTGTATTTACCGTCCTGATACATTCTGTGAGTGCTCCATAACACAGTGCAGTGTCCACTTTGTGAAGACCTATGAGACAAAATTGATGGGTCTCAAAACTGTGTATTTTGTGCTTTTATTGAGCAAATGTTTTATTTTTATTTGCATGACACAGTGAAGCCTATGTATCATTGTTGCACTGACTACCAGAATTCTTGCAGCCAAATTTTGTATTGTGATTTATTTGCTCCTTACCCTCTTTTACCTAGATTTTCTCAGTTAATTTTTTCAATGTATATTTTAGTGAAATATCAAGTTCATTTTCAAATAAAGCAGGGATAAGTAAATAAGTAAATGGATGGGAAATTATTAGCATTTGAGTGATACAGTGCACACTGAGGCAGTGGATGAGATCACCCAGGGGATAGTTAGAAGTCTTTGAATATGCATTATTTTGTAGACTTGCCTTTGAAACCACATAAATATGTTACCTAGTTATAAAGCAAAGTAATATTTAAAAAGCAATCCTGAAAATGGAAAATAGAATACACATACATACACACACACACACAAACACTTAGTAGTCTGATTTAATCTCTCTAAAAGAATTCAGTGTTCTTTAGTAAACCTAGCCAAAGTCCTTCTGGCTGCAATCTTGTTTGTTCCTATGGGAAGTCAAAGAAACATTGAATAGTTTCCTCACAACAGACTTTCTGCATTAGAAGGGAGTAAAGAGATCTTCTTTTATCCTGGGCCACATGACCTCAATTCCACTTCACTTTTCTCTGAAGCCCAATTTTAGCCCACTTTCCAAACTCTCCCTTGCTACTGTACAGTTCTGAGAAGATTTGCTAGGTTCAAGGCTTAAGAGAGAGACAGGTGTCTGATTCATGGCAAGGGCATTGTAAGTTTGGCTTTCTCTCACAATGATGAGGCAACAGCGTCCTCAGGGGGAGATCAAAGAGTATTAAAAGTGGGTTGGAAATTGCCACAGAATGATTGAGGAGACCTCAAAACATTAATTTTTATGGGTATCTCTTCTTGTCTTAACAGTTTCTTTGGTACAACCCCAAGTATATTTGGAAAAAAGTACTTGCTTCAGGTTAGATCCTGTGGGTTATAAGAGATGCTAACTGCCTTCACAGAACTCACGGTTCAGTGGGGAGTAATGGCTGCTTCACATGAAACCGAGAATGCAGCCCAGATTCCAACTGGAAAGAACCACACTTCAGCATTGTTGAGTTGTCCCCTGTATTTTCTGCATGGAAAGGATTATTAGTTCTCAGGAGATTACAGTGAGGTACCCCTGGCTCCCATTGGAACTAACTTGTGTGAACATCTAACTGATGAGAACAGCCATCCAGACTGAAGATGGGTGGCTGAACACCCTCAGAAACACCTATGTGAAATGGAACCCCCAAAACACCCTGGAGTGGATAAAATCAGTCAGAAAAAAAGGAAAGCAGGGGTTTTCCTGGAATCTGGGAAACAGGGTGAGGAGGGGAGGAGGATGTAGAAGAGGAGTAAACCCTTGGGAGACTTGGGGTCAGGCAACTGACATGTTATCATCTCACTTAACTAACAAGCTTATGAGGCTGCTATACCTTCCCATTTTGCACGTAAGGAAAAAGGAAGTAGCTAGTCTAACATAAAGAATTTGCTTTACAATCCATCTACTTTTTAAAGTTTTAAGCCTTTTATCTATGGTAGCCATTATCTCTCTCCTCTCTTTAAAATGATACTTGGTATCTCTATGGCATCTGTTAGGAGGAATACGCCTACTGTGGAAGTGACATGGAACTAGAAGGCAGCATGGTTTCTCCACCAGTTCAGGTGGGAGCATCACTGACCTATTCTCCCCACCTTTTATGGAACTGACAGTCACAAGTGAGATCTCTCCTGTGGTAAGTTGTGGCGGCCAGGAGGTAGCTGGAGTTCAGGAGTTTTATTTATGAGGGAGTGCTCTTGTGATTAATACCTATGGAAGGGAGGAGAAGAAATTAGGATTGGGTAGGATTGAGTAGAGGAAGGAAGTGAACTGTGATGTCATCCCAACAAAGGCGTTAGCCAAACCCACAGGGAACTCTGGCACCAGAATGACCCTTCAATTATCCCAGCTGGGCTGGTCTCTATACCCCAAAAGCGACCAGTAATCAGATCCACCTACCCCCGGGAGTGTGACCTTGGAGGGGTAGTTTTCTTCACGCAAGGCTAACAGCTGAGGGTCAAATCCCAATAGCTGGGAGACTAAGTCCTTCCTTCCTGAAGGAGGTCTGGACCATGTGTTACAGTATCCACTAAAACTCCCGAAAGTGTGGAGGCTCAACCTAAGTGAAGACTTTAACCCACATGATTATTGCCCTCTTCTATCCATTTGCCAAGATTTATGAGTTTATATTGGCCTATCTCTGTTTATTTTAGAGTACAGCAATTCTTCCACAGTAATTGAAATGCAAAGAGAAGAGGTGTCATCTGGAAGAATAAGCCATCTGACTGCAGAAAAAGGCAAAAGGGAAATATACAGGGGTGACCCTACTGTCATGGTTGGTTGGCTTACAGTGGGGAAGAAATCAGGACTGCATGATGGATCCACTTGAAGCCATTAAGAATGACTGGTAAGTGCTGTATTAGTTTTGGATCAGATTTAAAGGTCATGCATGGATCCTTTTTTCATTCACAGTATGACTCTGAGATATATTGAGAATCACTGGTGGAAAAAGTGAAGAACATTCCATCAAAACTTGACCAACCTTGTTCTCCCCATCTCGTCCTCAGGGTCCTACTATTCTAGCCTTGAGCCTGCAGTGCAAGCCCAGAGATGAGAAAAAGGAAGAAAAAGAAATAAAATATATTTTTAAAATGATAATATTCCTGTTCTCTGCTCACCCTGGAGGCTTATTTTGAAAATCACAGTGATTTAACTTGTTAGCAGTTTAATTCACTTTTAAAAGATTAACCAGACTAATTATTCATCAAATTTCACCATCTTTGTCAGCCTCAATAAGGATCCTTTGTTACGGTGATTAATGTGTTTTAATTGTAGCTTCTCTCAGAGCAATAATTCGATCGCACAGTATTTGCCGAATCTATGGAAATCTTGGAAATGCTTTGACAGGTGAGCTATTCTTGAGAAATGAAAGTAAAGGAATATATGTAACTAACAAAAGGTGTTTTATAGCGTATCATTAATATGGATTTTCCTTTCTGACAGACCTTACTGTATTTCTGTCCATGAATCTGCTTACTGTACATGTCTATTTGCCATCCAAGAACTATCAGGAGACTAAACTTTCTCCAATTGATGCCCTTAAACATATGTTCATCATAGTAGTAACCTCAGAAATACAGAGCCACATGGAAACTTAATTGACTGGCCAGTGTCCATAAATAGCCATCCAATTAAGAGCCTGGATTCTGTGTTGATCACTCTATTGCCTACCCAAGGCATCATCTTCATTCATTTAACTGATGGCTACTGTCCAAGTTTAGTATTTTTACAGCATCAAAAAGGGACCTGTAGAACCTGGTAGAGAGACAAATTGTATGTGGCATATACTAATTTTGAAGTTTAAATGTATTTTAATGGTATTATTTTTTAAAGGACAGCTGTCTTAAGACCTTTGGTGTTAGACAGATCTGGAGTTGATTGTTGGCTCTGCCTCTTATTAGCTATGAGAACTTGGGTAAATTAGCAGTATCTAGCCTCCCTGAACCTCGGTTTCCTCATCTCTAAAATAGGTATAATCATACCCACCTCATAGAGGATTAAAATTCAGTATTACATGTAAGACCTAGTATACTGCCTGGAGTGTAGGAATAAATTACTTTTAATTTTAAAAAATATTTTTTAAAAAGCTATAAGCCTTTCTAGTTTAAGAAAATCACATATACACGAGCATCTCTGGTTCTCACAATAACCCTGAGACAAGTAGGAAAGGTCTGCTGCTGTTTTTCACAGATGAGAAAACTGGGCACAAGGAGATGCAGAATCTAGGTAAATATGTCATTTATGTTCATGAACCAACTACTCAATCAAGTGCAAAGGTTCTCTAACACCCACAGATGCTGATACCTAGTCCAGTGTTTCTTCAGCTGCAACCAAAGAAGCACCAAGGGCTCTGAATTAGTAAAGTGATGAGAACAGAATAGCTAATTCATTATTTGTTGACCAGTATTAGCCCCTTTGTTGGGATCTATACATCAGTAATAGCAAACAGTGCCAGGCATTAGCTCATTTAATTCATATACCCATAAAAGGAAGTACATATCACTCTTTTTACAGCTGGGGGACACTGAGACTTGGAGATACTAAATAACTTGCTTGACAGACAAGGTCTGTCCAACTACAGTGTCTTTGTCTTAACCATATACTATTCTGCCTTTTGCCCATCTCACTTTATAAAAGACTGTTTAAAAAAGGGAGCGTTTTTAGACCTGTGAGGTCTGTATATAGTAACCAATTACCATACTTTAAATTACTGTCCTAGTGGTTTGGGTACCATGACTCAAAATTTTCTTTAAGCTTCTAAACCAAAGGTTGGGAATACTGTTGTTCCTTCAGTTGAGGAATAGCATTGGCTGTGAAAAAGATTTATATGTTCAAATATTAGCAGGTAAATTATTCTTTGGGTATTCATAATACATGGTTGTATAGTGAAGGTTCTGAGAAATACTATGGTTTTAAAAATTGTTTTTCTGTTAAACCTGATTCCAAAACCTCTTTGACCACAGAACCCTTCTTTTTAGGTACAATCACTAAGAACTCATGGCAAGCCATTTAGGTTCATTTAAGTAGTAATCATGGCCAAGTTTAAGGAGTACTTAATATATCCCAAACACTGATCTCAGAAATTCACATGCATTCATTCATGCTATAGTACTCCCTTTTTTTTGGTATTATTAATGTACAATTACATGAGCAACATTATGGTTACTAGACTCCCCCTATTATTAAGTCCACACCACATACCCCATTACAGTCACTGTCCATCAGCATAGTAAGAGGCTATAGAATCACTACTTGTCTTCTCTGTGTTATACTGCCTTCCCCATAACCCCCCCACCAGCTACATTAAGTGTGCTAATTGTAATACCCCTTTTTCCCCCTATCCCTCCCTTCCCACCCATCTTCCCCAGTCCCTTTCCCTTTGGTAACTGTTAGTCCATTCTTGGGTTCTGTGAGTCTGCTGCTGTTTTGTTCCTTCAATTTTTTCTTTGTTCTTATACTCCACAGATAAGTGAAATCATTTGATACTTGTCTTTCTCCACCTGGCTTATTTCACTGAGCATGATACCCTCTAGCTCCAGCCATGTTGTTGCAAATGGTAGGGTTTGTTTTCTTCTTATGGCTGAATAATATTCCATTGTGTATATGTACCACATCTTCTTTATCCATTCATCTACTGATGGACACTTAAGTTGCTTCCATTTCTTGACTATTGTAAATAGTGCTGCGATAAACATACGGGTGCATATGTCTTTTTGAAACTGGGCTCCTGCTTTCTTAGGGTAAATTCCTAGGAGTGGAATTCCTGGGTCAAATAGTATTTCTATTTTTAGTTTTTTGAGGAACCTCCATACTGCTTTCCACAATGGTTGAACAAATTGCTGTAGTACTTTTATGAGACAGATATTTTTAGAATAATCTTATGAGGTAAACATTTTTATTAAACAATTTTCCTAAGATCACTAGTAGGTGGCAGAGTGAGGACCTGAACTCAGGGAGTCTTTCTCCAGAGCCTCTGCTCTCACAGCTGCCATGAAAGAGCTAATTCAGTTCATCAGACTCAAAGATTATGTCATATATTTTTCTAATTTAAATATGGAATAAGTATACTCTACCAAATTGCTATTTTGATTAAATTGACCTCACCAAGGGGAGAAAACCTGGCAAAACCACCTCTCTGAATCGGACTCTCAAAACAATCAAATTTGTCTATCTGATATTAATAACTACATGTTTCCCTATGGTACTGTTTAATTCTCCAAATACTTAATCCAGATACAGACATCTGCTTATATTTTATATCAGATACAGAGGTAACATCCTCTTATCAGCCTGTCTCTTCCCAGGTAATAATCAAATCACTTCAGTTTTTCTCCAGGACTAATGCATCAAGATCTGACAGATAAGAATGCTCACTTAGAAACAGTCAGGTGATCACCCTTCAGAAATAGGAAGGATGCTATTTAATCTAGTAAGGCAAGGGCACGAGAATCCTTTTTTCTCTTCATTGCTTCCCTTACTTTTCTCTTACTTTATTCAGTTTTGGGTGGAGCAGTGGCTTGTGGAATGAGAGAGTCTGAGACTCACTCACTCACCTGAAGATGCCCCAAGCCTAGGAGAGGGACCAGGAAAAACAACAATGGCTCTAGAGATGCAGAAAGCCTGAAGAATGCTTCCAAGAACTGTTCTTGCCTTCTTTTCTTTGGATCCTCTCTCCCTACAGAGTGGCTTTTTTTTTAAGCATACTTCTCCAAGTTGTTACATTAACAAATCTGCACTGATATCTTTATCCTTGTCATCTAAAGACCACCTTGTCGACGGGTGGTGAACTTTTCCTTCATGCCAGGCCTGCTGCACTGTCTAATGTCACAAGTGTCTGCTCACATTAGCTCCCAGAGACGGGAGAAGATTCCGTGTGGGGCCTTTCCGGCAAGTTGATTTGACAGAATGAGTCCCCATGCTAGCTCATGGCACTTATCAGTTAGTCAGCCTTCCTCGGGGAGGAGAATTTAGAGTGCACCATATTCAGTTTCCAGATCAACTGCTGTCCCCTCAGGAAGCTGTGTGTTGCATTATTAAAAGAAATGCCTTCAACCACAGCACCATACTTAAAAAACATTCATTCACATTAAAAAAAAAAGTGGAGTCGGGGGACAATACAACCATGACCCCCACATCCTTCACATGTTAACTCTTTCTCCCCAGGTTTCAGGCTCCCTCAGTGAACAGTCCTGAAACTTTTATTGGTGAGCATGAACACTTGCTATTTGGTGAATCTTACCTTTATCTTAAAAGGGGGCTTTAGCCCAAGTGATGGCTGTGCAACACTCCCATAACTTACAGGATCTTGGGGCTGAGATCACCATTTTCTCAACCTCTCCTTTTCACTGAGCTCCCATAGCAAAGTTCAGTCCAAAAATCCAGCTGCCAGAAATAGCAGTGACATTGATTTACCTAACTATCCCAGGAATTCAAATGAAATCTAAGAATTAGTTCTGAGTTGGAAACGGACAGATCTGAAGCTCACACTTTAATAGTGATAATTTCATTAATTTCTAATTTTTAGAAAAACTAAAATTTATGTCCAGTTTGCCTTCATCTTTCCGAATGAGAAATTGACAAGATTGCTGGAGAAAAGGAGGGATCCTTTTTAAAGCTGCATGTTGATATAAATATGAAAATGGATTAAACTCTGCTTCCAATTTCCAAACATGTGTACTTCAATGAATATTAAATGGCAGGCTCCTATCACCATCGTGACTTATTTATTCACTAGAGTTTTTATCAAAAAGGGACTGGAATTGCCTGCAGAGCGTGAAAGTCTCCTGTAATTGAGTTTAGAGTGGTAAATCCACTAAACAGGCCATGGCTCCAGAGACACCCTGAAACCCACCTGTCAGCTGGTGTTAGATCACAGCTCAAACAAGGCATGGCTGCCTGTTCCTGCTAAACAGTGCTGTGGCCCAAAACAAGAAAAGAGAGAAGCTGTTCCCCAGGGGATAAGTGAGGGCTGGGGGCAATCATGGGGGTTGGGAGAGCAGGCGAAAAACTCTCATCCAACAGCTGCCTGATGTCAGCAAGAATCATGATCTGAAACTCAGCTTGAGAAGGGAACTAGCTAAGGCCTCATTCGGTAAGGTGTCATTTCTTGATTCCAGCATCCATTAGGTAGGAGCGTAATGGAGTGGACAAGAAGCTTTTTCATCACAGTTGAGCCATGGAAATCAAAGCCCAGAGTTTCAGTGAGGATAAAGATACAACAGGCTTATCACTGGTGCAGAAAGGTCCACATCTGGAAATGGAGGGGAGTGCCCAAATAGGCATGCTGGACCAGCCAGGGATGGGAGTAGGAATGTTTTGAGCTGAAGAACCATCATTCATCCAATGAGCATTTATTAATTGTTTACTAATGCTGATTACTGTATAAGTTGCTGAATGTATAAAAATAAGTAAGACACTCCCCAACTTCAAGCTGTACTACAAAGCCACAGTAATCAAGACAATTTGGTACTGGCACAAGAACAGACTCATAGATCAATGTAACAGAATAGAGAGCCCAGATATAAACCCAAGAATATATGGTCAATTAATATACAATAAAGGAGCCATGGATATACAATGGGGAAGTGACAACCTCTTCATCAACTAGTGTTGGCAAAACTGGACAGCTACATTCAAGAGAATGAAACTGGATTATTGTCTAACCCCATACACAGAAGTAAACTTGAAATGGATCAAACACCTAAATGTAAGTTAAGTCACAAAACCATAAAACTATTAGAAGAAAACAGGCAAAACTCTTGAATATAAACATGAGCAACTTTTTCCTGAACGCATCTCCTCAGGCAAGGAAAACAAAAGCAAAAATGAACAAATGGAGCCAGAGACGGGTAAGATTCCTCAAGGGAGGAACAACTTAAGACAGGCACAGTCGCAGGGGGGCCATCAGGTGAGAAATTGGGGATCAACAGAGGTGAGGCTTAGAACCTCAACCCCCTGTTTTGAGAGAAATCTTCTGCATCCGTAGATGTTTTATTGCCCTTGTCTAGCTTGGATTAACACATAGTCTACAGGCACACACCTGATCATCTACATTTGCTCTCTTACAACACTAAACTATGTTTTCTACCTTTATCTTGCATCTACCTACCACTTCAGCATTTTATTAAAAATAATAATAATAATAATAATAA